AATATCGCAATATTACAGTAATATATCGCGCGCACCCGCACTATCTAGAAATGTATATATATATTTATATATATATATTTATATATTTATATATATCTATATATATATATATATATATATATATATATATATATATATATATATATATATATATATATATATATATATATATATATATATGCACACACACCCATACACAATGCTTTATTTAATGTTATTGCAGTATTTAAAACATGAATAATAATGATAATAATTTTCATATTGTGTCTTCGGTATCTCCTATTTTTAAGAATTTGCCATAATCATAATTCTAGCTTAGTTGAAGCACATAATTGCACATTAATAGCCTCGGCTGTGTCACTTCTGAGCGGAAAATGACTTGAGCATAAACACACGCATTAAAGGGCAGAAGAGCGGAATCCAGTGGACGGGTCTGAAACTCTTGCGCTGATATACGACAAGAACTCAATGAAGAACTTAGGGAATGTTTCAGAGTCAGGAGCATATATTTGCATACATTTTAGGAAAATTAAACTGACAGGACGCCTTTTAGAAACATTTAAAGAGTTCACGGTGGACAACTCCGACACATCGAGCTGAATATTAATCTCCGTCTGTTGAAGGCTTTAAAATACTCCAGTTTTCCTCATTGTCAGTTCAGATATTTCAGGCTTTGTCGCATGCTGAGCTACACTTATATTGAGGTACATTCTAAACACAGAGTTTATTGTTGATTAATTAGTAACAGATAATAGATAATAATAATAAGAAGAAGAATAATAAGAATACAAATTTAGTAACAAAATAATTCAATGTTGTGTAGTAATTTTCCTGGAAGCTTGTGGGTTTTGCAGGCTCAGAATTAATGTGGTTTCGTTTCAGACGATGGAACAGCTCATCTGTATACTTTGTTTTATAATTATTTGGGTTATTATTAAATTGCATTAATACATTTGTTATCAATAATAGGACTGTTAAACATTCACGAGGGGAAGCTGCATGCTAATTTAATGACGACTGAATAGTGTGCATTAATTAACCGCAGGTCTTGTTTATTTGAGTATTTACTGAATTAAGCGTTGAAGCGTTTATAAACCGCATTAATATGCGTCGCACAGCGTCCAAAACATGCTCAAACCTGCTCAAATCAGGAATCTGTTGTGATGAACTCTGGCTATTTTGTCTTGTAACATGTAGACCTAAAGTTCAGGGAATATTGTGTGTGTTTGTGTGTCTGCACAGCCCGTGCGCAACTGCAGTACAGTGAGTCCATGTGTGTTTACTGAGGTTTGCTCTGCATCTGTAAGCACAGCAGGATGACCAGACACTATCCAGCTCAAATACAGCTATATATATATATATATATATATATATATATATATATATATATATATATATATATATATATATATATATATATATATATATATATATATATATATATATATATATATATATATATATATATATATATATATATATATATATATATATATATATATATATATATATATATATATATATATATATATATATATATA